TGTGGACGCTCATCGATGCGTATTTCAACCCAGCGATGCGAAATAAAGCGACCACTTGTAGGTCCGGAAAACTTTAGCCAGCCTTGTCAGCCGGCTGCTGCTCTGCAGGCCGTCCCCGCATTGTCAGCAGAGCTTACTGTTATAGCTGGCATCCCGTCCGATGGCAAGCAGTGCAAGCACTCGAGCAATGCAGCACTAAGACAAAGCTCGCCAGAAGGCATGGTGAACCCTGGACCTCCCCTCCTTGCACAGGGCTCTCTCCCCCTGTCTGTGGAGCTCAGCCCTGCACCGTCTCAGCTGGGCGCATGGCCGCAGCACCTCAAAATTACATCAACGCTTCCCACCAGGTACCGACCTTGTGTGAGTCTCTGAGCACCTCTGGGCACCTGGCCGTCACCTTCTTCCTGTGTCCAATCAGCTTCGTATTCAACTTCTATGTTGAAGCTCCTTAGCATTGCACAGGCATGCCATTTTTTGGTTGCAGTTCTCGGATATGCAGAGCGGTCCTATGAAAAACAACTCAGTACTCAGACTGTGCCACACGATGCCGCGCATGAGCAGTGGGAAGCTTAGGAACAGTCGTGTTTTGCGCAGTGCCTTCCTGGGAACCAGCAGGTCTACAGAGTGTGCGGCTCAAACAGAACAACAGGCAGTGAAGGTCAGCAGGGGTCCTCTTCCTCTTTCACTGCTCGCATCCGGCTGCCAAGGTTTCCTTTTGGAATCTGTTTTCTGGAACCAGGAAGATGCAATTCCGTGTGAGACCAGGCGTTGCTAAGCCATGCGCTGCGACTCCTCGGACGCTCCTCACAAAAGTAGACATGACATAGGATATGCTAGTCTTTGATTCAGCCTTGCCTGTGGATCGAAGGGAGCCAAAGATGTTTTCGGCACTGTCGCCAGTGTTGCGCCGGCTGCCTGGGAATAAAGATGAGGGTCACTCAGTCAAAAGCCGGCTAAGGCTGAGGGTCGCACAAGCAGCTCCAGCTCAAGCAACATCTTGGCCTCATCTTCCGACAGTCCACGGCCTGGCCACTGAACTACATCATAAACCCTCTGATAGAGCTTGAATTAAACTGTGCACTGTACGGGTTGCGTAAATCAAGACAGCTGCACAGTCCGTCATGGAAGAGGGCGAACAGTCAGTGAGCTTGTGACAGCTGCAGTAAGCGGACGCGGAAGCTTATTCAGCCAATTCAGCCAAATCCCAAGGAGCAGCCAAGACTAAACTAAACATGTTCCCTCCCGCTGTTGGTGCCCGCAGCATGCAAGATCTGGAGCTAAACGTCCGGAGCAGGTCGCCGAGCACATGACACTCGTTTTTTCCCCATATCGCTCGGATCATCGAGACGTCGCCACCGCCTGAATGCGTAAGATCTGAGATGCCATGTGGCTCTAGATCTGTCACAAATTTCGCAAGGAGTCCTGGTCAACGGAAATGAGAAGCATCGGTGAGGATGGCTGTGACGGGCTGAAACAGGTCCTGTGCAAGCATGCAAGAGACGTGTGGTTTTGACAGATGCGAGATGGGACGAGCGTCTACATGTGCGCTTATCTTCTACACAATCACTGGCTAGCGACAGTCGCATGTGTAGTGGTTGTGGTTGCTTTCCAACTCGACCCTTGTAGACCCACGCGGCTTTCCGCTGATTGTTGGCAACCTGCCTACTTGCCATTGCCCCTGCGTGCAATACCAAACGACTGCAGCCAAGGTTCTCTGTCTTGACCGCCAAGCCCCGGGAGCGCGCTATCTCCTCTTCACAGTGTTTGAAATGCTCAAAATCTTTTGTTTGGTTTATCTTGTCCCACTCTGGCTCCAAACTCCCATGCCCAGAAAGTACTACTCGAAGATGCCACAACTTGTCTGCAAGACCAGCGCGCTGCGCGGATGCTGTTAACCTATTCAGCAACTACGACAGCTACAGTCAAGACAACTCAGCCCTGACGAAACGAGACAGCTTGGCCTCAAGACTCGCACCTGCACAAGCCAAAACAAGCGGACGACCTCCCGAGACACGTCTGCACTGCTAGCACATTATGTGCCGGGCTGGCGCGCGGCGCTCCTCGAAGTACGACACCGAGCCAAGCTGCCGCCTTTCTATATTGTCTGGCTCCTCAGATGACACCCCCGCTATCTGGAAGCTGGTCCATGTTCCATCAGCTGCCGATCCTGACTTCTCATTCCAAGGAGCCATAAGAACAGCAGGTCCGGCGAAGTGAATAATCAGGTCCACGAGCCACGCGACGACTTCCTTGTCATACCTTCTCTACATCATTGGATGACCCTCTTTTGCAAATTGCGCAAGGGGATTCACTTCCTTGGCAAAGACAAGCCGCAGAACGTCTGCCGCAGCTATCATGCCACCGAAGGCTGGTGGCCAGCTATCTTTGTCTGACCAATCGAAAGCTGCGGTGGTCCTGGTTTGTCGGATCAGATGCGGATATTAGCCTTACTGCCTTACTAACTTGCCGACTTGCCGAGGCACACCCTGTCTGCAACACCATTCCGTTGGGCTGACTGCTTCCTCGGCGGCTATGCGCAAGAAGCAGGGGCCCTCATTGACTGAAGCCAAAAACAAACCAAGTCAAGCAGCGAAAGCTCCAAAACCTGGTATGCAAACCGATTTAGCATGTGCGCAGAGCCTGCCGGATCTCTACTATTCTTAATGCTAACATGAGGCCAGCGAGTCCCTGTCGCTGATCAGCACTTTCGGTGCCCCAAGCTTGGCAGCAGCAATGCCTCCGGCATGACAGCTCCATGGTCTCAAACTCTGCAAGCCACACGCCTCAATCCCCAACAAAAGCGATCCCTTCATGACATGCACTTGCTGTTGTAGTTTGTAGTGGGGCTTCCACCCAAGCCTTCCAACACATGGAGAGATGCTTCTGGGGGCTTCCTGCTCTGCTCTATCGGATAAGTTACCGGGGACCCTACTGACTTGAGCATCTGTACGATCTGCATGTGCCCTTGAAGTTATATTGAGGTCTGGGTGAGCTTGTCATGATGGCCTGCTAGCCCAAGTCCGGCTCCAATCTCACACAAACCGCGCGCTTGCCAAAGCTCTTTCCTGCTCATGCAGGTGGAGATGCACGGCGGTTCCCTGACGGCAACTGCGAAACGGATGGCAGACTGCACACCTCTGCAAGAGGATTTCTGCAAGAACTTGCTCTGCTGGCCTCAGTATCTCACGAAGTCATTTTGTCGAGACTCTCAAACTTGTGCTGTAGCCCTGTGCCCTCCAATGCAGACGGAGGGCCACACGATGTCCGAAACAGTGCCGGCGCCGGCTTCAACTTCTCTTGCAAACCGGCTGATGTCGAGGACCTGGTGTTACTGAGACAGTGTGCTTGTCAGCGGTGCCTTGAATTTGAGGTCCGAGCGTATGCTGGAATCACCAAATCTATGTCCGCTTCTCCGAGGCTAAACCGTTGTTCGGCTGTCTCGCTAAGGAGGACCTTTCTGGCATCGTTCATGGATGGGTCCTGACAAGTTGTGGACGAAACCGCAACCTGAAGATGCGCTAAGATAGCACAGGTGCGCTCCAATCTTCATTCTTGTCCTTGCCCAGCCGTTGTTGCCTTCGTTGCTCCTCTCTTGAAACGCGGCGCGTGCCACTGGCTGCCGGTGCGGCTCCAAACCCTTTTGCTCGGCCTTTCCTGGCTCGCCGAAAGCTTACGCTCAAATATGTATTATATATCTGTACATACACATGCCCATACACGCACACACACACATACACACACACATACATACATACATACATACATACATACAGACAGACATACATGCATCACATGCATCACATACATCACATACACATACACACACACATATACACATACATACACGTACATACACGTACATACATACATACATACATACATACATAAATAAATATATATAGATATGTATGCAAATACACATACAGGTGCACACGCATACATACCGACTTACATACATATACGTACTGAACAGGCCCCTCTACCAGAACAGATATATAAACAGGTAGATAGAGTCCATGCTGCCTACACGAAAAGAGAGTGGCCAGGCTGCTTGACTGGCTTCGAAGGTTTTGTTCTTGGAGGTCCGGGATCAAAACCAGCAGCTGCCCAACCAAAGCACGACATGGCCGTCAACACACCGGCCTTAGTCGAATGGCACAGTTACATCGTTTGCAATGCCCCTAGTGGCCATCTCGATGAGGCGGTCACCGCCAAAAGAAGGTTCCGCCGCCGCGTTATCATGCTAAAGATGGCTAAAGTCTTTGCGCAGGAGCTGGTCAATGCCCATCTGCCAGGATATTCGATGTTGCAAAGTCGCGCTACAGTACGCCGCTGCACCAGCTGAACGTAACCAGCATGCCGTGGAGGGCTCGCTGAGTCTGTTCGCTGTGTGCAGAATCCCTGCAAGCTTGCGTTCAAGGCTTTATGAAGTACCGATCACTCACGGGATCCGATTCGACTTCCTTGATGCTTGGGCAGCTGCAGTCATCTATGCATCTCCACCGTTCCAAAGCCTGCTTGTAATGTGGGACGGCAGTGCAGCGATGTGTGATAACGGATCTAGCATCAAGACTGCACCAGGAAGCTGGCACTTCTTTGCATGCTAGGCCAGCAAAGCTGCTCGCGAATGATCACACTGCGTCACCAACCCCGCAGTAAACATCGCGACAAGCCGACGCACAAGCACAAATATAAATTGGACATCCGTCCGTGCCCAACCAGGCCAATGTGTTCAAGTTGCATCTCCTTCATCTTTGTGCTTGAAGTTGGCACCCAAACCTACGCTGCAACGAATTTAGCCTGTACAGTGGAGCCACTCAGCCAAGGCCCGCAGCGCTGCAGGCATGGCTCGGCTCCATGAGTTCAACCTCAGGCACTGTGGGGGGCCACTTTGGCGTAAAAGTAAAGGCGGGATGATGGCAAGCCTCCAGCGTCAAGCTTCTGACGCTTTCCTGAAGCATCGAAAGGATCCTGGTATCGACGTCGCACAAAGATGGGCCAGGCACAAAGGTTCACAAAAAACGCCTGCCTCCGAGCGGTGTCTGGCCATGTCCTGCCTGACAGCGATCCCTCCCCGGGCAAAGAAGTTAAGTTGTCACTGCGCGGCCTGGGAAGCACCGCTTCTGGCTTTGCCTGGTTGAACGATCTCTTTCTGTCTTTTTCGTTTCAAGGCGCGTGGCTTCATCCTACTAGTAGTGGTGTCTGCTGAGAAATAGGTTGCAGTACACAAAGCAATGAAAGACTTTGCCACACACTGCAGCGAGGCCTGGAAAGCCGAAGCAGCGATGGTTTGCGGGATCAGGGCATCTCGAGGGAATGCAGGTAGGACGCGCGCACCTTGCACATGCAATGAAAATCACGCAATCCGGATGGTAAGTCTATCACTGGAGTCACTAAGAGCGTGGGGCCTGCTGGGGTGGCAGCTCGAAGTCTTTCTGCAGACAGGTCCTCGCTTCAGTGCTCGAAACCCGTGAAGGAAGAAGTCAACCAGATTTGCATCACGCATGCGGTGGTGTTGCCTTGCTGCTGTGGTGCTGCAACGATGGATGGCGATGCCTCTGTAGCTCCAGGACCCCGGCATGCACGGATGCAATCTTTTGGGAAATCCAAATAGGACCAGGCGAGAGAAAGGCGTATCCTCGAGCTTGCGGCCGCTCCCTGGCTCATTTCAGAGACCCCTAGACTGCCTCTGGCCACTCACTGTGAGTCAGCAAAGCATGAGCCTTCTCGTGTCTTTCTCATCATCAGTAAGCCCGAAGTCAATGCTGCTACTCCTGAGTTTCGACTGGGGGCGTCAAGCTGCAGGTCTGCAACATGAGGCGCAACGTGCACGTGCCGCCGACTGCAATCCCATTCAGCAACTACTGCAGAAGCCAGGGCTCTGCCCGTCGCTGTCTGCAACAGCTTCCTTTGGCGCCTGGTGCGATGCTGGAATGCGCTTCGTTGCAGGAGTGGGTTTCTGACCCGATCCCAAGCTTTGGCGACACATCGCATGCCCTCAAGACAGTGCTCGTGTTGCTTGGCTAGGCATCAAAGCGGTGGAGGGATGTATTGTAAGGCTTTGCAGGGAGCCACCGGGCATGTTTCGTTGCCAAGAATAGGAAGCCCGTGGAACCGAACCGAACTATGCCACAAACCGAACCGGAAGCGCAAGCACCTCATCGGTTTGAGGGCCCCTGAAGGCCCTAAAAGTTAGATAGACCTAGAACCCTTACAGGGTAAATTAAGTGAGAGGAGCCCTTGAAAGGAAGGCTTCAAGGAGCCCTTCAAGGAGTCCGTAAAGGAACCCTTAAAGTAGCCCACAAATTAGACCCTAAATGACGTACCTGTGGCGCTGGGGTATTGGTTGCTTCAGAGACAGTCACACACAGTGACGCACGACAGAACGTTGGAGATGTTTTTCGGATGGGGTGCCCAAAAAAAATCCATCCCGTACAACCGTTCCGAGCCGAGGCCCACGCACCACTACGGGGGAAGAAAAAGTGTAAAGTAACAGGCTGATGTTTTTCGGAGGTTTGAGCGGGGTCGAAGGGCCGAAGAGATTGCAGCTGCAAAGGGGATCAATCCCCTGGAACCGCGAACCGAACCGTTTGCGAACCTAACTGCAAACGAACCGAAGCACCACGAACCGCGATGGCAGATTGCTTGCAGGGGCCCGGCCCAGCATCTTGGAAACGGCAGGGTGTTCGTCAGGAGTTGCAACTCTAAGAGCAGTAATAAGAAGTGACTGGAATGACTTGGACTTTTTTTGCAACCAGGACTCTCGCAGCCAGCCGGGAATGACTAGGACTAAAACCAGGAACCAACTGGCAAGTACCTGGAACCCGGATTCCAGCAAATCTCAAAACAACCACTAGGTTCGCTGGCTAAGTCTCAAGAAACTACAGACTATGCAGGCAAGTGCAGCAAGTGAAACTGAAGGTGCTTGCGGACACGACGCTTTAAGCGAGGTGTTTCCTGGTTAGTAACTATAGTGTTGGACGATGTCTTCCGCTGAGCCAGAACGTTTTTTTGAGCACGTGCTGTAATCACAACATCTTATATCATATCAGAGTTATAAGAATAGTACTCCCTGGGCTTTCGCCTCGGCCTTTGTACGCCGCTCCGTCGCCAAGATGAGGCGATCGACAGCTTTCTTGCGAAATGCTGCCAAGGCCTCAAACGGATTAGGATCAGGGCTTCATTCTCATAGCCACTACAGCAGTCTCGTTGATGAAGCTTACGAAAGTTTGCAAGCGCAAGCAGCGTTTACTAAATCTTCGCTCAATTGCGGCCCGCTCAAATCTTTTCAGGTGATATTGCTAGACACTGAGGCGCTCTAGCTACGAACTGACTGTGAGCACCATGCCAACCTGGGTTGAACGACGGTTGTCCAGAGTGCAGGAGCGTAGCAGTTGCTATCCTCAAGTGCATCTTTCACAGGGGTTGTAATCGTCTGTGCATCTGGACCGTTCCGCTGAATCAAGCAGGCACGCAGCCAAGAGGTAACATCCCTCGCCATCAGGCCACGTAGTGGAGACATGAGACGAACTAAACGCCTTTTCCTTGACTTACCGCACTTGTGTCGATGAGGCCACGAGACCCAGCCAATGATACCTCCCTGCGTCATGCCGCATCAAACATAAGCCGGGTCGAGTAATCAATCAAGAACAGCTTGCTGAAGGCAAAAACCAAGTTCCGCCTGTAACAAGCGGTCGAGAGAAGCATGTTAGTAGCAGAACCCTTTTGCAGCTTCGGCGCTGCCCTCTCTGGATTGCTTTCTGACTTGCCAGATGCGAAAGACTGATGGGGTCATGCATCCGATATCCATGCATCTTTAGTACACACGTTTTCCATCCAGCATCCTGGAAGAAATGAGCAGCTGCTGCCTACCATTACCATGTCGGACATCAAAGGGTGACACAAACGGTGAGAGCGGAAGGCTGCCGCTTCTCGAGTTTAGCATCATGAACCAGCGTCCCAATGAAGTCTCAAAAGGGCTGCTCGGCCGCGGACTGGCACAAACTCTCGTGTTCTCTGCGAGAGGTTTCGGAGCGCCTGCATTATCGATACTGTGAATGCTTGGCTCTCAGCAGTGTGGCAGGCGATGCAACTGAGCAATGCAACGGACTTGACTATAGGCCATGTGCTTCGAGCCTCCTCGTCTGCTGTGCGCATGCCTAAGCAGAGCTCCTTCTCTGCCTCTGCTGCGCTCTGTGCGCAGTACAGACACTGCATCATTCGCAATAGCGGGTCTCTTTCCGCCGCCTTAGATTGAAAGTCGTGGATGCTGCCCACACTTCAATCTAGGTTGTGATCTACTGAAATGTACTGCCAGAGCCAAAGGCACAAAGGCCGACTTGATTGAAGGCCCTGAATCTGATCGGCTGGGCTCTCCGTGCAATCCTGGAAGGAGAAAGGCTGTGCCTAGAAACGCGTACGCGCAGAGCGCCGGCTGCCCTCCGCTTCCTGCACCAGAATGGAGGTGCGATGTTTGCTTGTCCAGGTCAGACGTGATCAAGGACAACAGCGTCTGGTCGTCCCCACAGCCAGTGTCGCTTCTTGTCTCCTCTTCCTGCCGTGTCACATCTCCTAAGCAGCTTCTCGGAGAGCCCTCGCTCCGCACAACGTCAGAATCCATGTTTGCTGTGCTAGGCTAGCCAACACGTGCTGAGAATGGATTCTGAATCTTGGAAGGCCATCTCAAGGCCTTCACATGGCCGAGCTGGGGTGTCGCCACTGGCCGGCAGCTTTGGCGAGGCTGGCCGCGCCTCCAAGTTGGGTAGTGTAACTTTCACTTGATCCAGAGGTTGAGCATCAAGGGCCCTTCGAACGGATGCAGCCACGAATCCGCGTGTACTGGTGGTCGAGCTCGTCTGCCAGCTCCTTCTTCACGACTACTTCTTCCTGCTTCACCTGTCAGTAGTCCTAACCTGACCTCGAGTCTCAACGACCCATCTTTCGATTCCGGCATCTTAAAGGGATCCTGTGAATCTAGTAGGGCTCCACGTTATGATCTGTACTGTATTCCGAACGGTGTTCCTGAACGAGTGGATCCCTACGCCGACTCAGGATGAAAACACTTGCAGCTGTTCACGGTGTTTACGGGCCTCCTCCTTTTTCAGCACTTTGATAGCTTTGCCTCGAAGTTCGGCCTGCGGAAGGAGCTCGAAGCAAACACACTGCTACAAGACGCTTGCGCTGCCACATTTCGGACGCCGAACCCTTACACTTACAGATAACAGAGCATACCAAAGCCCTGTTACGTCTTCGACTGCTTGAGCGTGCACACTGAGGCCTGCAATTGCAAGCAGCAGCCCCGCCTTGACTTGGGATTTGACCGGCATCAGGCGAGGAACCTGGCGGCGAACGACATGGGTCACCTCCTGCTGCCCTGGCCACAACCTCGCCTTCCTCAGGCTGGTCGCGCATCTTCCCGAGAACCGTCTTGGCTGTGTGGGTAGCTTGCGCCGCGCCTCAATGTCGAACTACTGACTCGCATCTTAGCGGCTGGTCGTAGTCTGTGCCTGACCCTTGTTCTTGAACATGCGCTGTCGCATAAACTTCGCTTGTTCCCAAAGCCTTGGCAGTCTTCGGTGAGCCATGGACTTCACAAATCTTGGCCTTTGCACATGATACGTTGGTGCAAAACCCCCGCAGACAACTTGTACGAGTATCTGTTCAGCATTCCCCAGACCTTGCAGACATGTCGCCCGAGTTGTTCCAGGCACGTTGCAGCCGCCGGCAGCGAAAGTGGAGGCCGGATGTCTGTAGGGCTTCCAGGAAAGCCACCGCAACGCTCGAGACCTCGAGAAAGGTGTTTGCAGGAAGTTGGCTGTTGGAAGCTCACGACATCAAACTACAAAACATGTGATGTTACAACCACCATCCATGCCACCAGATTTGAGATCAAGAGCGTAGTTTCAGTGAATCCAGATCCGTCACGCCAGCAGCGAGCAACCGGCGGAGCAAATGACGAGCACCAGATACCATGTCCTCAAAGGGCGACATGCGTGCTCCAAATGCTGCCTCACAGAAGTACATGCCAGCTACTGCTCTTTTAGCGGTGCCAACTGGCCTGGGGATCGCGGCGCTTTTGTGCACGAAAGCACCAGGCAGCCAACGGAGATCGCATCCATCGGGGAAATACTGCGACCCACGACTGGACTGTTACTGTTTGTTCATCTTGTGGCAGAGCTGCGTGGCCGTACATTCCTTGGAAGATCTGCCAATTCGTCCAAGCGAAGACTGAGAAAGCTTGACTCGAAATTCAATTTCTTGCTTCTCAGACGCGTATGGCTCTGCCCACGGACTGTACAAATGCACTGGGCGATGCCTCAGCCACGCGGTGCCCACACACACCCCCAGTGACAATGCAGCATGCCAGACCAATTCAAACCGACTCCGCAGTTTTGAAAAGCTACTGGCATGTCGGCAAGATGAAGCCTTCGCACTGCCATGAAGCTTACGCCCTCGGAGCATTGCGCGGCGTCTGCGACAAGTACACCTGCAGCCACTGGAAGATGACAATCCCGCATCGTCATCATGTGCCTTCTTCGTCAACACGGTCGAGTCAACTCTACCTCCAAAAGACTCTGAGGTGACGGCGAAAGCGCTCCCCTCTAAGATTCGAGGGAGAGTTGAACCTTTAATGACACATGGCAGGTCACGGACACGCCGAAGGAACGCAATGACCAACGTTTCTAAGAGCCATGCTCCGCGAGCTCTTCCATTGTTGCAACGCCAAACTTGTGTCCTCCGCAAGACCTCTCCTGCAAACAAATGCAGACAACACACATCATGTGTGCTTTCATCCATGGCAGCGGCGAAGGCCCGCAGAATTCCGAAGGCATCATGCAACAAGACCCGGAAAGCAGTCAGGAATCATGAGCGAAAGCGCCTGCAAATGCTCAACCAGAGCTTTTAGTCCAGAGCTGTGCGCGACCAACACCAAGGCCTGCCCAGATTGCACGCCCATTGAGAATGGCACGGACGAAGTACCCTAGAACCCTAGCCGTGGACGTCCCAACCTTCTCGGCAAGCTGCACAATGTTTTCAGCAATGGCGAAAAGCTTTGGAGCGCATGTCTCCATGTTTGCAAGGATGCGAGCCTGCACAGCGTGGGGATGCTGGCTGTTGCAGACAGAATTTGGATCTTGGCCGAACCGATCTCTCGTGAGTGTCCTTGCTGCCGCTTCGCCCGTCATGCAGGCTGCCGAAGTGTACCTCAGCAAAACCAAGATGCCAATGCCATGCAGCGCTAGCACTGTTTAAGTGCACATTGAATTGAATAAGAAAGCAAGGGTACGAATTTGGGCAAACATGTGTTAGAATCTGCAAGAACCACCCAAGAGGAAAATACTAATTTAAGGATCCCCTGCCCCCGAAACCCAATCTCTTGTTCGAATTAAATTTCTTAAATGAGGTCATATGAGGTCCCAAGACACAAAAACACCAAGACCCTACACACCCACTCTACCTTTTCTCAGTTCCCGGGTTTTTGCCGGGACAGCCCAGAAAGGAAACAACAAATCCAGCCCCTGCATTTCTTATTAACGGATTTCCGGTGTTTCTGGCCGGACGGCCCAAAAGGAAAATAGAAATCCAGCCCCTGGATTTCATAATTTTCCTTGTATAGTTCCGGCCCGTTGCTGGGACGGACCGCCTACAAGGAGACTAAGACATTCAGCCCAAGGGCACGATGAGAAATCCAGGGTACCCTAAACCTGGCAGGTGTCACTAATGACCCTGATTCAAGAGCTGTCTGAATAAGAAACCTAGGGTACCCCGCCTCCGCGAGCGGAGCTTCTTATCTAACGTCACATAACGTCACTGCATTCACTATGTCCTGTAATGATTGTCGTGCTCTAGCATCCCAGCTGCTTCACCACGTCTGCTAGGTCTGCTACATGCACAATCACGCGACGGAGTTCCAGCAGACATTGGAATGAATCATCAGGCCAAGCTTCACACAGATTGCAAAAAGCACGAAGTCGCTTTTCAGGGAGCCCTTTCCTGAGCTGAAGGCCCTACATTCTGTTGTAAGGATCGATCTTCGAGCCGTCCGTCTCACCGGTAGGTTCAGCTGCAAACGCTTGCAACGAGTCGCACTGAGCCACCGCATGCTAGGAAGCCTGAAAACTGCAACTGCTTCGAAGACTGCTAAGTGAACAGCAGAATCACTTCTCACCCCAGTTCTTGGCGTTGCCAAGCATCATTCTCTTAGCATCGTAGCGCTTCAAGGCTTCGGCAGACAGCATGACCTTGTGATGAATTTCATAAGCACAAACTGCCACTTGGTTCATGGCTTGCTCTCCAGCCTTGTGCACCATTTGGCGCCTCAACTTCGGCGTAAGGACAACATCCGGCACGCCTGGCAATCTTGTCTCGACATGGTATCTCCGATTCCTTGCTTGCACTATCTGGCTTCGAGTACTGCGAGCAAACTTTAATCGCACGCTTGTAGAGGCAGCGGTTGTCTTGCAGTACCGTGGGACTGGAGCACAGGCAAGGTAAGGACTGCCTCGTGGAAGGGATGTCCTGATCATGCAGAGCTTCTCTGAGAACACAGATTGCACACCGCGGTAAGGCTACGAAGGCCAAGATTCGGAAACAGGCCAACCTTTGTTGAGGCAGCAATCTTTCCATCTCGCTGGATTGAGGTTGACATGTTTTGCCAAGCAGCTGGACGCATAGGAAATGAGGAGAGGAAGCCACCATCGCCCGGAGGGGCAAAGGCGCCCTTCACAATGTCCTCAGCTCTCACAATTCATGCATCTCAGGGAGTTGAGTAACATCCTCGAGGGCGACAAATTGCTGCAATGAATCCAGGAGCTGTCTGCCCTCACTTGCCTGTGACAGAGCATGAAAGCAGGTGAAGAACTCCGTTCGTGGTTTTTCACAAGTCTCACGAGAGCACCTCGTTCAGGATGGGAGTTCCTGTGAACCCCACCAGCACCGAGCCGCGCGCAGTCGAGAGGAGGCTTCCTGGTCCCACACGTGCTGCGATGTTGGCGTCTGTAGCATCCATCGGCCAAGTTGCTAAGCCGTGCGAGTTGCTCACCATATTGGGTCTGCAGCCGGACCAGGTTATGGACCTGTGCTGACGTCAAGAAGTGGTTCAGTGGCTTCTCCAAATAGGCTCGCATTTGTTTGAGCCTCGTCCATGATGACGACCTCTGACAAGTTCGACAGATTCCATTCGACAAGCGCCTACATGCAGTGGACCTTGTTCGAGTAAGCATTGCCAGCAGCTTGTGCGCGATCAAAGGCAACCTTCAGCAAAGCGCTCACCGGCCATCCATCCTTAGACTGCCGCGCTAGGTCATCTGCCGCATCTGCATTTTCCCTTCCGCTTTGCCCATTGGGATGACTGGAGACATCCGAATCTGCTTGGAGTCTTGGTTTGGAGGGTGCTTCTGAGTCCAAGCTTCCGGCCGAAGATCTGCCTTGTCAGGAGGTTCAAGCTTGAGGTCTTACGGCTTGCCAGCTAAAGTTATCTAAGCTCCGAACATGACGACCACCTGCTGATGTGTACCGCAGGGCCCGCAAGGGTGCTGCTGGGGCGACTTCGTCTGGGAAGCGTGTACGGAATGCCTCCACGAAGCCGCAAGCAAGTCTGACTTTGTTTCGGCCTTCAAACCGCTACTGCAAGGCTGCCTCTCTGCGCGAACGTCTCATTCTGCCCATGAAGAACCTCGGATCAACAGCATCGGTTTGTTACGACATGACATGTCAAGCGTTGTCACATCACTTGCTCGCAGGCTCCAAGGGGCCACCCCTTCATTTCCAGCACCTCGCGCATGTTGTAGCACAGCTCGTGCATGACAACACCAGACAGGTCCTTTTGCGATCGTGTTCCCGCCGCAGTGAGAACAGGAGATGTGTAAACGTGCACAAAGCTCTATTCTCAGTGCCAGAGCACGGCCAGGTCCCAGCGAAGCCTCCGTCGAGAGCGCCAGTCTGCACAGCCACTGGCTTTAGCTGCATCCTGCGGCCTTTCAGGAAGCACCGTTTCCATCTTTGCCCAAACAATGGAAAGAAAACCTTGCTCCTGGCCTCAGACAGGCAAAGAAGTCCCGATACCTGCACACAGGTTGAGAACACTGTCATAAACCCAAAAGAGTTTCTTGGGGATCCACCGGCTGGGCCATCGAAGTAGTTCCATGTAGAAGTTGCGGCAGACCGGCTCCTGCATATAGCGACGCGTGGGGGTTGATGCATCGTGGCTCAGGATACGCGTCCTTGGGAAATATCGGCACCTTCGGTCGCGGGTCCAAGAAGTAATTGTCCAAGACGCAAATCATCTCTCGAGTCTTGCCTGGACCCGAGGATCTGTGGCTGCTGTTGGATTCATGGTTCAGGGTTCTTGGATCCGTAACCCAGATTCCTTTTAAAGGAATACCAGGGCCAGGAGCGAAAACAAGGGAGCAAGGCATGAGCCCGGTAGGAGAATGGCAAACGGAATAGACAAACACCCACTTCCGAATCCGAAAACCTAACTAACTTTGGGTTCCTAGCCTAGCCCTTTTCACCTAAGCCCTCAAGACTTCCTGCGACCTGCTGCAACACGACACGAACAGCATGACTGCTGACGACGAAGGTGACTGCGGCTGCAATCATGCCGAACGACGACTCCTATCAGTATCCCTCTAGTTTCATGTGAGACCTCGCGCTCAACCCCTCCCCTGAAAACGCTGCAGATTCCCGCCGCAGCTCTCGCACCGCACCCTCCCGGAGGTCTGACAATGGACAAGTTTCTGCGCTTGCCATTGCTGATTTGCTGATGCTGATGTCGTTGTTGCAACCCCCCACTGCTCATTTGTGCTTGCTTGTGGGATCTCCGATCCGCTTCTCGGAAAAGGAAGAATGCACATGCAGCATCAGTGACTGTGCTTGAGGCCTGATCCCGTGGGATGATCCACCAGCCTGAGCTTCTCTCAGTTTCTGTAACAGTCTGATCCATTGCGCGAGACCCCGGCATTCGAGAGATGGGAGACTGCGGATGCAGCATAAATGCCACCGCCTCATGCATTCCAGCGACAGCACATCTAGACCCCAAGCTTACAGCCGTCGCCTCAGCTTCAGCCCTGCTATAACCTCAGCGTGCAAAATGCCTCTTGATGTGGCTGGAGAGGTGGACATTCGCCTGTCTTTCCCCCGAGGTCGAGCTGGAGCGGCGTGACGCTTCACAACGCATGAGACTACTTGCTCGCCTTCGGCGCGCCGTCCCTTCAACTTCCTGCCAATTTTCGCATTCCACATCACTCGTGCCTGGCGATACATGGAGACAGTACTTTGAACGGGCTGCGAAGTCTCGGGACCACGAAAGCGCTCACAACTTAGGAAGCCAAGCGGCAGCAAATCGGTTGAAACCTGCACTCAGCATGTGGGGTCGACAATCGACGAGGAATTGAGGGAAGCAACACCTGGCGAGCCCAGATCAGGAGCTCCATCCCAATTCCCCATGTAGGACGGATCCACCGGAACGGGCTCCTGCAGAGTAAAGCGACGCGATGACGAGTCAAGGCTTTCCCAAAGTCGGTCCTGGCTGACGATCAAATCTTTCAGCCCTCCTGGAGTTCGATCGGCACAGTATTGTGCCCACAGTGGCAAAGCGAAGCGCGGAACAGCTGAAGGCAGTGGGCTCCGAGTACTTCCACTTCTCGGTCCACTTCTTCTTCACCATCGAGGTCAGATGCATCGGACATCTCCTGTGATCTGCACCGTTGATTCACCACTAGTTGACATTTTCCCTCATGTTCGCAGACATTCCAGGACCTACCAGCTGCACATCCTTCCAGAATCTGTGCTACAGGGGGTTGGGGTCTACATAATCAGTCTCTGCCTCACAATCCGCGAATTAAATCAGACGGACATCAACGTTAGCTGGGGCTGGTACAAAATCTCATCATATCCCGTCGCTATGTCCTTGTCGTCAGCACTGCTCTCTGACGATGTGCTGTCGCTACTCGATGCTTCACCATCGTCCAAAGCCTTCCAAGTCTTCTACTTTTGCATCACGCATTTTGGCCGCGGGTTGCTTCTATACCATCTATGCTTGTCACTGATCTATTCCTTCACCATCTTTACCTGAGGTACCCCTGCAACTCTGCTCAGCTACGAGACGAGTTGATACTCTGTCTTTCGGCTGTCGATTCCCTGAGGTACGGTCATGCCTTGATCGGGCCAGTGGCTTTTAATGCCATGTTCTTGGCCGTTGTGGTGTCCTTTGCAGCTGCATCTTCCTCCTGGCAACAATGGCTCAGGGCACACCTGGCCGGAATGACACTCTGACAACGGAACTGATGAGCTGCATCCAATCATGTCTAATATATAAGACTTATACTTATACTTATACTGTAGGTCATGTATGCTATACTAGCTTGTGCGTGGCACACATAGTCTTTAAGTCATCCTCCGAAGACGAAGTTTCGGAAGAGGAAGAAGAGGAGGAAGAGGAGGAAGAAGTAGTACTGGAGCCATCAGGCTGCGCCTGGACATCAGCACTGTTTGGCTTGGAAGCTCGACGACTGCTGCAGGTCCTGCCTGATCTTTCATCTTTCAAACCCTACAAGTACAAGGGTCGCCCTGGTTATATACAAGCTGATGTGGAGACGGCGGCAAAACACGTCGGCTTCATGCTATGCTGAGTAAATGCACACGCTTTCATGCTGATTTTCTGAAAAGCACACCAGCAGTCACCAGCACCATCATCTTCCTCTTCGTCCTCCTCCACCTAACCCGAACCCTCTGCAAGGGCATTCTCTGCTGACTCGGCTGGTTGTAACCACTGGACGCACAGCCTTTTTTGCTCTTCCAGCGCTGCGGGAAGGAAATCCGAAGCGAGTGCCAAGCTTGCTAAAATGCCAAGTGCCAAGCATCGCTGCGCTCACTGCACTGGCACCCCAGGCCTGAGCATTCTGACCCGCATAAAGCGAACCTGCGCTATCTAGACAAAACTGTTCTGGTTGTTGCCACGGCACACCGCCCCGCACCTGGCTGGATTTCCGTTTCTTCGCACGGAAATGCCGCTGGGTGTACGCGCTCCGGGCCTCATGTGCTACGGTATTAAGAACAGGCACCGAAACACGTGCGTCACAGGTCGATTGACTTCTGGTGACTTCTGAGAGTACCACTTTGCGGAGCTGATTGGCAACAGAAATTTGTGCAGCCGCTGCGCACACCCTGAGCTATCGCAGGCTCTTCACAGCACGCACATCTAAAGCTGAAGAATGCATATGAATCAGTGAAGTACCTGCCTTCTCCCCCCCTGCCACCAGCGCTGGAGGGTCTCGAGAATTTGGGAGCTTCCGAAAACTATGATGCCTCCTCAAAATAAGAATACAGCTAGCTTTGGTCCTTTTTGGTGTCCCTCATTTTGCTGAAGCTCTCATTGAAAAGTGAACGTGGGGAGTCAAGCCTGAACGTGACGGAACTCTTTCTTGAAATGCGTGACACCTATAGTCACCTCGTGATAATCGTAGCAGAAAGATGGAGTACCAGCAGCAGCCGCAGGAGCAGGCGCAGCAGCAGCAGCAGCAGCAGTAGCAGTGTAGGAGGAGGAGGAGGAGGAGAAGGAGGCTGAAAAATGCTGATCGGTAGAGTAGAGCCTGGCCCTTGCACTCTGTTCCTGAAGGCCCAAGAATGGGTTGGGATGGGATGTCCGTGGGCTCGTGTGAGCCCTCCTCGCCGCCTGGACTGGATCAATTTTTTCAGCAGGCCGCTGCCCCGGCTGCTGCTTCCAAGGCTCCACTGGACACTGTCCCGGTTGTTTTATTCCCTCCAGTTTTTCCGAGTGTGTTGTGAAGCCCTTGGACCTCATGCTTTCCTCATACTTGAATAGCAAAGGCATACCAGAGCCGCAGCCCCTGCGCCCGATGAAAAGCAATGATCCCCGTCAATTGAGTTCTAAAGTTTGCATGTTCTTTGGGAAGTTTCATTCAGATGCACCAGGGGGCTTCGTGAACGGGAGTACTGTATAGTTGATGTTGTATACAGTAGACATCTATACAGTGGTTGTTTGAGGATCCGGTGACAACTTCAACCTAACATCGCGAGTCGGTACGTTTGAGCAGGAGGGATTCTCACATCAACCTAGAGCATCCTCGCCGATCTTCGCTACAACCAAACGCCAGCTTCAACAATGGACAGGAAGTGTTTTTGACAGAGATGATGCTCCGAGATGCTCCGAGGATGCGTTCGTTAGACCCCTTTATCTAGTAACCATATTTCTTTCACGGCGTGTCTTCTTCATCCGGCAGGCTCTTGGACTGTGGGGAGCTGGAGCTCGCAAGCGTTGATGGATTCGGCAAGGGAGTGTGCGATGACGTTGGCCACCTCTCCTTCACAGACTCTGCACAGTTCACTTCGCTTCTCCACTTTAGCATGAAAACTGCGAAGGGGAGGCTGTTGCTGGCGAGCTGCGCATGGCGTTCGTCCGCTGGCCGTTCACGAGCTTTGCCGCAGAGAGGTTTGCAAAAACAAAACGACACCTGGGACCGGTCCAGCAGTGTCTCGTAGCAATTGCACAGACAGGAGGATGCTTTTATTTCTTAGCGTTCTGTTTACTCGGCCATGTGGCTGCAAGGCAAAAGTTGGACTTGACTCGTGCTTCTCATACTTCACACCGTGCTCAAAGCAAAAAGGAGATGTGAGGTAGAAGCATCCTTTGGTCTGTTCAATGTCCCACAGCTCTTCCCTGTCATAAGCTTGAGGGTTCCATACGCTGATTTCGTCACCAGAGCGCCTGCCTCTTCGGCGACTTTCTTGTGGTCTGTATTGCGAGTGTCTCTCGCGAAAATGGCTGACCCGCAGGGTGCGAGCTCCCCCGAGGGTGACCCCCAAATGCAACAGCGCCGTCGCACCATCGGTGTGGGAGTCCATGGTTAAATCTCCACCTTGCCAAATTTGTGCCTCCACACCGGCAAACTGCACTTTGTCCAACAAGCAACGGCGGAAAACACTAACACTTTCATGCAACTCCGAGTCTTCGGATGCCTCCTTCTCAAGTACAGATAATGCTTCGACAAGGCGCTCCCAGCAAGCGGATGAGGCTTGCCGGAAAGCGTCCAAGAAAGCTTGGATTCGAAGCGGGGCTGCGTGAGCAAGCAAAAAATCATCTGTACGGGGCACAAACACTCGAACACTTTCAGCTCCCCAAAAGCTGCTAGCATACCAATCCGCCTTCAATATGCTCTCGTCCTGCTCGTTAATGCTGTCTTCCTCAAATCCCCAAAGCTCTTGCAAACTCGAGCTTGCGGCTTGGCCAGTCATGAATGGCCCAGTCGAGTCGCGTAGCAAATAACTTGTCAAATCCTCGGAGTTGGCCACTGCAAATGCAAACGGTGCTCGCCCCATGGGTAGTTGAACTCCGTATGATATAGGATGGCGGCCGTCATAATGCTTGAAGTAATGGCGCGTTGGCACGTTGGCCGAACACTGACAGGCAGTGAACATGCAGCACAATAAACACCGTCTCAACCAGCATGCGGGCATGGGTGCCCATGCGGTCCAAATGCCGCTCATCATACTACCCCATGTGTTGCTTCCTACTCCAAAGTTGTCCTCTGCGCCATGCCAGTTAGCTGCTAGTTGCTTTCACCCTGTTGTTCTCCTGCTTGCTTGCACGTGCGAAAATGTGTGTCTACGCGTTTTGCAACGACATTGTAACAGCGACGGGGTTGAGCAAACACACATCGCTGCGGAATTAGAAGCACACCTAGAGAACCATGTTGAGAACAGGGACGGGTACCAAGGATCATCTTATGATCAACATCGACATCAAACCACAGGCTTCATCCCTACGTGCAGCAGTCACAGCATGTCACAGCAGTGGATGGAAGCCGCACATGAAACACAACACAATGGAAGTATGAGTCCCAAACTGTTACGGATACGGTTGATATGCGATAGCGGCGAAGTGTTGCAAACTTTGAAAGCTCAACGGTCACGAGAGTTTCGGCACGGGATGGAGCGTTCTGCCGCTGCGCGCACGAGGAAGAGCGTCCAATTGTCCAGAAAGGCGGTTGCGACCAGCGGCCAAGATGCCCAACGGAACAAAACATCTCAAAATGCTGAGCACGCAAGCGTAGAAGAGCAACTCCATCTCAAGATGGGGGCCAAAGGATACCGGCGGGATGTTAACGAGAGGCTGCATCTCAAGCTCGGGCGGGGGATACACGTGAAGGGAAACTGCATCTCAAGATGGAGGGAGCACAAATGTCGAGGATGTCAAGAAGAAGGACACAACAGTTCAAACAATCAACGCCTACATCACAAGATGGGGTGGGGGCAAAACGGAGAGAAAGCGTATCTCGAGAAATTTCGAGAAGAAACTGCTGCAGAAGCTCAAGAACAAGTGACCCCACAAAGGGGGTTCGGAGTTGTTGAGACACGGGCGGCGCCTACCTGCATGCAGAATCCTCATGACGGGGGCGTGGCCACCCTCACACTTGGATGCTGCCTATGTCATGCGTTCCCGGCCCGTTTTTTGAGTGTCCCCCACCCCTTACCCAACATGTACAGTGCCAAAATGGGCGATCCATGCCGTTAGGCTGGGGCCGGCTGACATGAACATCGACGTTCCAATCAGCGACGCGCGGCGAATCGAGGTCGGTTGCAACCTGGCATGATGCCCAGCTCCCCGTCGATGCCACGATCGTGTCCCCCCTCCCACGCGACGGCCTGCTGCAGCCCTGCGCGGGGTGTCGAGCCATCGCTCGTCCTGCAGCACCACATTACATGCACAGCCGGCAGCAGAGGCGACTGTGTCGAGAGGGAGCTCGAGCAGTGAACTGGTGAGGGCCCTCTGCGCATCTCTGCCCTGCCAGGGCGATAATGCCACTTCAGTGGGAGAATTAGGCTGCACGCAGAACCCAACATACGGCAGCCAGCGCACTCGCGGTGCGCGTGTGCAGGGAGCCGCAAGAAGGCGGTAGGTTCAGGGCCCCAGCAGCCTCCAGCCTCCAATTTCGACAGCGAAAATCCGAGGAGAGTGCGGAATAATGGCACAAAGGGAAGAGAATAGTAATAAAACAAAAGCGCGCGCGAAGCGCGCGCAAAACTGTCGCGCTTTTTTCTTCCTGGGCATCTAGGCAGCAGCGCGACAGCTCGGGGTAGGTGTCGTGATGCTGGCGCTGTGTTGCGAGCCGAAGAGCGAAGCCGGGTTGAGAGTTAGAGCCCGGTCGCGGCTCGCCGGAGCGAGTGACGGAGCTGACGCAGGTGATATCGGCAGCGAGATGGTGGCAAGCCATTGCGAACAATCCCGTCCGCCGCGCATCGGCAACAGGGGCCGGGAGATTCATGTCGGCAAAGCGCATGTTGCCGGCGACCCGTGCCCCAGCCTCTTGGCAGACCCGGGACGACCCGGCGACAATTCGCTCGAGCGGGAGGGCGCCGGAAGCCAAGGCCCCGGAGTTGGCATGCTGCTCGATGGTGACCAAGCGGGTCGAACAGCCCACGACATTCACAGACTTTTTTTTTGGAGCGAGCGGCAGCGGCAAGCGCGGGCGGCGGCGCAGGAGAACCCGGAGCTCTGCGGGCAGACGGTGACTGCTCCGTGCGTGCAGCAGATTGTGAAGTTCTGAAGCAGCAAGCGGCGTGCAGCGCAGCATGGGACAGCAGCGCCCGAGACGCAGGGGGCAAGTTGGCCAGATGCATCTCGAACGCGAGTTGGATCGCGCTGGTTACAAGCACGGGCCACGTGCCGCTGCCAGCCGCGGAGGCGGTTGGTTGGCTGGACTGTTGGTGGACTCGGGCTTCTCTGGGCGCACGGCACGGGGGCTCAGGGACGTGGCAATCCTGCGCCGCGGGTGGAACCACTGGCATGGGGTGCTGCAAGTGCACGGCGGAGGTAGGCAGCGATCTGCGGGGAGCTTGCTTGGATCGCTGGCAACGTGTCGAGCTAGGAAGCCCAATTTGCAGCATGGCGGTCAGCAGCTGCCGAGCGCAACCCCAGTCCGCCGGAGCCGCGGGATAGTTGCGAAGCCTGTTTTCAGCAGCGGCTGGCTTCATCACCGCTAGTCTCCGGCATATGTTTGCAGGTTCCTCACCCGCGGCAGGCAAACGCCCTGCAGCTCACGGACTCGCGCATCCGGCCTCCTGGCAGACGCGAAAAATCGAGGGGCAGAGCTCGGGTTTTAGAGCAGGCAGCTCGGTGATTTCCGTATGCATCGAACGCAAGGGGCAGGAGCAACTGCGTGGGCCATCGTGGGCCGAGAGGAGGGTGCAGGCGCAAGCCCCAAAAGACCAGGACGCGGAAATGGAAGCGGGAATGACAGCATTTTCCGACGGGGGCAAGACCGCCAAGTGCTCGGGCAGAGTGCGGTGCAGTTTGCGAGAGCAGCAGGGCGCGGGACGCAAGGCACAAGTCAGCAAGGTGCCTCCCGAGCGCGTTCACCGCAAGCATAAGAAGCTCTGCGCTGCCAGCCACGAATGAAATCGGCAGGTTCGTCATGTATGTAAGTGTCATCGAGGCATGCGAAGGTCGCGTCTCCGTCCCGCATTTGCCTTTGCGGGGGGCCCACGGTGAGGGTTTTGCAGAGGCTCGCATTTTCGGTGCGGCTCGGTGCGCACGGGTCTGCGTTCCACCTTGCACCTTACCCACCCACTTCGCAGCTGAGCACGCACAACGTGACGTTTTTTGCTATGACGATTTCAAAACAGAACCAGCCAAACCGCACAGTACGTCGTGCATGCACGGGTCTCCGAGGCAGGGCATGTATGCCAACAAATTGCCCGGGCTGGTGGTGACGATGGGCTGTGTTTCAATTGGCGTAAAATCGAAGCCCTGCCCATTCGCTGTGTCGTCAAGGTTCTGAAGACTGACGGCCACCTTGTTGAATGCTAATTTGCCCTGGTTTACTTTAGTGGTCAGCTTGATAATGCTGGGGGCATTGGACCCGAGCTCAATCGCCGACTGGTTCGGGCAGAGCTGATTTTCAAGCTCCCAATCTAGTTTGGAAGCATGCTTGCATTACAGCCTTCGCGAAGTTCGCATTTTCGGCCAAACCATATTCCAAAATTTGATGCGCGGGCAACTGCACTGCAGCTCATTGGCAGGATTGCTGCGCTTCCTTCCTCGGACGTCATGCGGACATATGTTTTTCAGGAGGGCTCAATCGAAACCGAAATGCAGAGGCCGCCCCAAACAAATGTGGACCTCCGCAGTGTATCAGCTTGCTGTACAGGCGGCAGAAAATGTTGAAGACTTGCGTCTTCTATGGCTGTCTCCATCGATTCGGGCACTAACGGCTCCTTGTTTGCCCATGTGTCACAGTACATGAGGCCTTGACTGACTGATTGTCCGATGCAGCTGGGGCTGGGGCTGAACAGGTATCCTCACTGGACCCGCACGGACTTCGAACGATACCCGGCGGTATCGGCATAGTTTTTGTTTTGAAACAACATGACTCCAACCACTCGTGCCAAAACGCGTGATACATCGTGACAGTAATACTATTATGTCTCGCAGCGGGGTTTACACACACACACACACTTACTTAGAAAAGTGGTTTCTGCACTCGCGGACTCT